AGACCAGAGAGAGACCAGAGAGAGAGACCAGAGAGAGACAAGAGAGAGACCAGAGAGAGACCAGAGAGAGACCAGAGAGAGACCAGAGAGAGACCAGAGAGAGACCAGAGAGAGACAAGAGAAAGACAAGAGAAAGACAAGAGAGAGACCAGAGAGAGACAGGAGAAAGAGAGATCAGAAAACCAACAGTTAACACACATAAAGAATATAGACACATGTTGATAAATGTCACACATGTAGAATGTTAAAGTGTCCTGGATCAACACCATGTTATAATGTTCATACTTTGTGTATTTCTATATTAAAGGTATATAAGAGGATTTTCCCGTTTTTTTTGTTGGGAAGAGCCGCCCACTCCACTTTTTAAACAAAACTCTCTGCTCTTGTCTGTCGCGTGTGTCACCAGAAGGATTGACATTTGATCAATAGTCTCGATGATTCACCCGGAAGTAGAACATCCTTCTCTATACCTAACGTTAAGCTGTTTTGAATATATATCCCCTTAAAAATGATGAATGTCTTTTCCTTCTTACCCGTGGATTTTGTGATTATTATTATTTTTTTCCTATTGTCTTTAATGCCCCTACATATACAACACATTATTACATTTATCAATAATACACAGACATATGTTTGACCTGGTTCGAAGAGTTCTTATTTGATTCCAGCCCCCGTCACACTGTTTTAACAATAACCAGAAATTCCACATGCACACCCTGTACAGTTTATACTATATATTACATAACACTATCACAAATGCTCTAAGACAGACCAAACATTTGATTAGATATTTTTAATGGAAAGCTGAAATACTCTTATGTGTCGCCGGTTATAATTCCAAATCACAGGTTGCCAAAAGTGCCCGTTTTTGACTGACAGTTGCTATGCCGACAGAAACGATGCTATGACATGCTCAGGCGACAGTGGAATCCCATTACCTCCAGATAAATGTGTGTGTGGTTATGTTAGCCATAGTGTGTTTGCATTGGGGGTGGGCGTGGTCACATGTCCACATCCTGCACAGATCCGGGCGCGCTCATTCATTGATTGACTGCGGAACCTTCCGCAGTCAACCATTGGTTTTGTATTTCTTTATTCCGTCATTTTTTTTGACACGTTTCACAGCTTTCACATTTTCAACAATTTCCACAAGTTATACATCAAAACGTTCCACATGTTTGGGAGATTATTGCTATTACTTTTGGGACTTCAGCGATTTCCGGTTTTTCCGCAATCGGACAAAAATCTGCATTGAGAATTCTGCAATGCATTTTAATAGGCCCATGCATTTTAATAGGACTTCAGCTCTTTCAGACATTTCTACAGTTTCAATGATTCAACAGTTTCAAGGATTCAACAGTTTCAAGGATTTCAGCAGTTTCAAGATTTCAAGAGTTTCAAGGACTTCAACAGTTTCAAGGACTTCAGCAGTTTCAAGGACTTCAGCAGTTTCAAGGACTTCAGTGTAATCATGCAACCTAATAGGGATTTTTCCATGTAAACCAGTATAATGCAACTTAATAGGGATTTTTCCATGTAAACCAGTATAATGCAACTTAATAGGGATTTTTCCATGTAAACCAGTATAATGCAACTTAATAGGGGTTTTTACATGTAAACCAGTATAATGCAACTTAATAGGGTTTTTTTCATGTAAACCAGTATAATGCAACTTAATAGGGATTTTTCCATGTAAACCAGTATAATGCAACTTAATAGGGATTTTTCCATGTAAACCAGTATAATGCAACTTAATAGGGATTTTTCCATGTAAACCAGTATAATGCAACTTAATAGGGTTTTTTTCATGTAAACCAGTATAATGCCACTTAATAGGGTTTTTTTCATGTAAACCAGTATAATGCAACTTAATGGGGATTTTTCCATGTAAACCAGTATAATGCAACTTAATAGGGGTTTTTACATGTAAACCAGTATAATGCAACTTAATAGGGTTTTTTCCATGTAAACCAGTATAATGGAACTTAATAGGGATTTTTCCATGTAAACCAGTATAATGCAACTTAATAGGGATTTTTCCATGTAAACCAGTATAATGCAACTTAATAGGGTTTTTTTCATGTAAACCAGTATAATGCAACTTAATAGGGTTTTTTTCATGTAAACCAGTATAATGCAACTTAATGGGGATTTTTCCATGTAAACCAGTATAATGCAACTTAATAGGTTTTTTTTTTTACATATAAACCAGTATAATGGAACTTAATAGGGTTTTTTCCATGTAAACCAGTATAATGCAACTTAATAGGGATTTTTCCATGTAAACCAGTATAATGCAACTTAATAGGGTTTTTTTCATGTAAACCAGTATAATGCAACTTAATGGGGATTTTTCCATGTAAACCAGTATTATGCAACTTAATAGGGATTTTTCCATGTAAACCAGTATAATGCAACTTAATAGGGTTTTTTCATGTAAACCAGTATAATGCAACTTAATAGGGTTTTTACATGTAAACCAGTATAATGGAACTTAATA